AGAGCGTCTCGGAATCGCGGTCGATGTAGGTGATAAACCAACCCTTGGGGGTCTCCTCGACCTTGCACTTGCCGGTGCGGCCGAGGTACTTGACGAACTCGGTGAGGGTGGCCCACTGGGTGGAGTTCATGTGGACGTGGTGGCGGTCGTTGATGAACTCGTTGTAGACGACGGTGGCGGCGACGCGGCTAAACCGGTGGCTACGCTTCATGAGTTCTAGAAAGTTCTGCTCGAACTCCTCCGAGTAGCCGTCGATGATCCGGTTCGGGTTCTGGCCGAAGACCTCCATCTGGCGCTGGTGGCTCTCGCTCATGCAGTGGCACTTGAAGCCATTCTCGTCGCGGCACTGCTTCTGGCACATCTGGCAGTACCACCGGAGCTTCTGGAGACCCTTGGCCTTGATCCGGTTCGCGATTGCTTTCGGGGTTAGGAAGTCGTTCTTCCCCATTGGAGGATTCGGCTATGGAGTTGTGGAAGATGGGGAATTTGATCGCAGAGAGGGGGGGAAATCAAAAACCCTAATTCGAAATTGCTCTAAAAGAAAGGGGAAAACGCGGAAGAAGAAGAATTTTGGACAGAATTGTCGTTTGTAGCCGAATTCCTGAAACGGCAAAGAATGAGGAATTTGAGCACGTTTCGGGTTGCGTCTAGGAATTCAGGAAATAGAGTCGTCGATAAGTAGAGATTTTGTCGTTTACACCACCAAACTTGTCGTTGACATGAGTAATTATATTGGTTTGCCGTTTAAAAAAGAAAAATCTAAAAAGCATCCCCTTAATTTTAGCTGAATACCATATTTTCCCCGTAGTCTTTTATAATACAAAATCTATTTCTTATGTATTTAACCTGTCCCAAATTTTTCCCCTGAAGAAAAAATTATCCCCAAATTTTTCAAAAGCGTTAAAAAACTAACGCTTAACCCAGCTAAAGTTTTGAAAAGTAAAAAATGTCCTCGATAATTGATATTTATATACTATTTTAACTAATATTGAAAAATTCAACTTTCTTATTTGAAGTTAGATTGATTGGCTAGACGACCTCTCTAAGACACTAAGGTCTGCACTTTTCACAATTTGAATCACAATTCATATTTTTTGTTACAGTATTTTTAATAGTCAAAAGGGTAGGGTTCGGTGACAATAACGACGAGCTTTGAGAGAATGGATAGTAACAAGTTGAGATATGACATGAAAAAGAAATTGTGTGTGTAAACAATAGTGGCCCTTAACTTGACGCGATGAAGGATCATTTTGACAAGTCCAAATCCTATCGGTTATGTGTGTATGGCGATGACGCAAAATGTAGCGTGTGGATGAAAAATATAGAGATAAACGTGGTATTTAATTAAGACCTAATGTGTAATTTTGGATGTTTTCTAGGGAAAAAAATACTTAAGTGTGTGACTGTGTTTATAAGAAACAGTTTCATTCCTCTACACTTTCTTTTTTGAGATAGGGGTTTGTGGTCGATGTGATATTTGCACATAGGTCTGTAACATAACCCATAATGACATTCCTATCCTTTGCTAACCACCCATAACCACCTACACAAAAAGAGTAAAATAATAATATTATCTCAATAACCATAAAATAGACAGATTAATAATATTGATAAATAAAAGACAAATTCTAAACATAGAGTATAAAAGTCATCATTTTGTATAAATACTTCTTTTATCTTTTAGGAGGTTTGAGCCGTTTGAGATCTAAAAACAAAAAAAAACCATATGAAACGAAATAATTAATAAGCAATTTGGGCGGTTTGAGCTGAAGACTAAAAAATTTTTCAATAATTTACAAAAATTATAAAAACGTTAATTCATAAAAATAAAAAAGTTTATAATATAATTCAAAGTATCATAAATGTCTAATAGTTCACTGTTCAAAGTTTTAATATAAACTAATAAAAATGTGGTAGGGTGTATTTTATAATTGTAGAACCTCTGTTATGATTAATAAAAATTAAAATAAAAAATTATACATGTGCATTTTTGGGCGGATTACTAGGCAGTTTTAGCAGTTTAAGGAGTCCAAACCATTAATTCAAACCGTCCAAAAAAATTAGACTAAAAACCTACAAAACCATCCAATAATCTAAATATAATTAATATTTAATTCGGTTTGATTTGAATTAAGTGGTTTGGGTGGTTTAGCATATTTATGAATACAGACGCTCATTCTTCTTAGCATATTAGGGAATTTGTTATTCCTTTTTGGTTATTTCCGTTATGCTGTAATAAGACAAAGGTTGGAATATTCTGGAGGAAGTTTCTTATGTAACAAACTCTGAGAGCTCCTAGAGCTCCTAGAGATCCTGTATATGTATACCTCTCTGTACCATCAGAATTTAATGAGAACGATTTTCTTCATTTCCTCTGTTTACCATTTGTAATATGGTATTAGAGCTTTTCCCTTTTGCTGCTCTATCTTCCTCTGATATTTTCTAGCAATGGCTCGTGGTGGTCAGAACAATAATAATAATAATAATCGTTTCCAACCTCTCACTCCTCCTTCTTCCTCCACTACTACTTTTCCATCAAATGATTCTTCTTTTCACATGGACAATATTCATAGTCCCTTCTTTCTACACAGCGGAGACCACCCTAGTTTGACTCTCGTTTCTCACGTTCTTACTGGCCCATATTACAATACCTGGAGCCGTTCCATGCTCATGGCTTTTAATGCCAAAAATAAACTTGGCTTTGTCAACGGCAGTCTCCCGCAACCACCGACGACTGATCTTACTACAAATATTTGGTCTCGCTGCAATAGCATGGTCACTTCTTGGATTCCCAATGTCGTGTCGAAAGAAATTGTAGACAGTCTTCTATACCTTGACAGCGCTCAAGGTGTTTGGTCTGATCTTCATGATCGGTTCCACCATAGTAATGCTCCATGGATTTTTCAGATTAAGCAACAGTTAAATGGCCTTACTCAAGGATCCCTCGATGTCAATACCTATTATACTTGGCTGAAGATCTTTTGGGATGAACTCAAAAATTTTCAGCCGATTCCAATCTGTCAGTGTGGTGGTATGAAAGCTTGGATGGATTATCAGCAACAAGAGTACGTGATGCAATTTCTGATGGGTTTGAACGAGTCCTATGCTGGGATGCATGGTCAGATCTTAATGATTGATCCTCTGCCTTCTGTTTCAAAGGTGTTCAACCTCGTTGTGCAAGAAGAACGGCAACGAACCTTCGGATTTGGATCCCCTTCTCCTAGTGATTCTCTAGCATTTAGCACTCCCTCCTCATCGCTTATTCTTCTAACACCAGCCACTGCTCGTTCTCTCTGGGAAAGCCGAAGCGAGATCACCCTATCTGCTCGCATTGTGGGATTACAGGGCATACGGTGGACCGCTGCTATAAGCTACACAGTTACCCCCCAGGTTACAAGCCCAAACCCAAGGTTTCACAACCTCAACAGGCCCATAATCCATCAGCCCAACATTCTCTTCAATCCACACCACAGGCACACGTCGATTCCTCCAAACGATAACAGTTCTCTCCCACAACTGCAACGACCATGGCATCACCATCTGGATCTCTCTCCACCACCCAAGTCTAACAACTTATCGCCTTCCTCAGCTCACAACTCCACACTCAAGCTCACGACACACCTAAAATTTTAACAACTCTGGGACCCTCACATCTATGGTAACCCTCCTTTTGCCCTTTCTCTTTTTCACCCATTTATTCCTCGAGATGTCTGGATAATAGACACCGGTGCTACCCACCATGTTTGTTGCAATCTCTCTATTTTCTCTCATTCAACAATCACCAAGTATACCACTATAACCCTGCCCAATGAAAATACTGTTGCTATAAATCGAGTTGGTGCTGTGAAATTGTCTGATTCTCTGGTTTTGCATAATGTCTTATTTGTCCCCATGTTCTTTCAATCTGCTCAGTGTCAGCGCTCTTACTTCAAGCCATCATTGTTGTGTTAATTTTATTTCCACTTCGTGTCTCATTCAGGACCTGACTCAGGGCTCGACGATTGGGAAGGGTAGGCGTCAAGGCAATCTTTATTTTCTTGATCTAGGGGTTCCTATTTGTAATTATGCTTGTTCATGTTATGTTTTGTCCAAAGACGATGTATGGCATTACCGGCTTGGCCACCCATCTCTTGTAAAACTTCAAATTTTACATAATGAATTACAAATCCCTAGTTCATTATCACATTTATCTTCACATTGTCAAATCTGTCACATGGCAAAGCAAAAACGTCTTCCCTTTGTTTCCTCTAATAACTTGTCTGCTAAACCATTTGACCTAATCCATATAGATATTTGGGGAGCTTTTCACGTTTCAACTATTGCTGGACACAAATTTTTCCTTACTATTGTAGATGATTGCACTCGTGCTACCTAGATTTATCTTTTGCATGCCAAATCCGATGTTCTTACCATTTTTCTGGATTTTTACAACTTTATTTTCACTCAATATAACACCACCATTAAGTTCGTACGATCCGACAATGCCCCGGAGCTAGCATTCACTAATTTCTTTCGTTCTAAGGGAATTCTTTCTTATCACTCCTGTGTGGATACGCCTGAACAAAACTCTGTCGTTGAACGAAAGCATCAACACATTCTCAATGTGGCTTGCGCCCTTCTTTTTTAATCTTGTGTTCCTCTTTGTTATTGAAATGACTATGTCTTGACTGCAATATACTTAATTAATCGAACTTTGTCTCCTCTTCTCTCCAATAAGACACCATTTGAACTTTTGAATAATAAGAAACCAACATATAATCACCTTCTCACTTTTGGTTGTCTATGCTATGGTTCAACCTCTCCCCATCATCGTTCCAAATTTTCCCCTCGTGCTCGAGCTTCTGTGTTCCCTGGCTACCCCTTCGGTTATAAAGGGTACAAATTCCTTGACTTAGAAGGCAACAAAGTCTACATCTCTCGTCACGTGATGTTTCATGAGTCCATTTTTCCCTTTGCAAACTGTCGGCCAGACTCTTCTCTTCATGATCTTCTTATTAACCGTGTTCTCCCTACACCCATTTCAGCCCCCTCTGATATGCCCTCTTCTCTTGCTTCATCGACTCCTCATACACCTCTTATTTCTCCTTTTCTAGTTTCCCCTTCTCGGCCCCAACCGATCACTAAACCTCCTTCATACATGTCCGATTATCATTGCTACCTAGCAGCACATCCTTCTTCAAGTTATGACATTGTTCCTTCTCCTTTGACCCCTTACCCGATTTCAGATTTTCTTAGTTACCACAAGTTGTCACCACCTTTTAGGGAATTTGTTTAGGTTATTTCCTCCTACACTGAACCTCGAACCTTCTCCCAAGCTGTTACTTCTCTGATATGGCATGATGCGATGAATGTTGAGTTCCAGACTTTGGTAAGTAACAAAACTTGGCCTATTGTTTCTCTTCCTTCTGGAAAACACCCAGTGGACTGTAAATGGGTGTACAAGACCAAGTTTTGACCAGATGGCACGGTTGAATGATATAAAGCTCGTCTTGTGGCCAAAGGCTACATGCAACAAGAAGGTATAGACCTCCTTGATACTTTTTCCCCTATGGCCAAGCTTGTTACTGTTAAGTTGTTGCTTTCTCTTGCTGCTATTTTCGGTTGGTCACTCAACC